AGCAGCCCCAAGGACAGCTGCGTGGTTGGGGTTTTCCCCTCTATAAAGGTTTTGAGAAGCCTGCTGGATCAGAAGGGAGGATTTCTTCAATTCGGGACAGAAAGGGAAGCAGGAACATACTGGAACAAGAAGTCCCTCCGTACAGCACTTGGTGTGGTAAGTAGGGTGGCAAGCGGCTGGTTCACACCTACATTGAACTTCAGCTTCCTTTCATAAGGTGATACAGGCCATTAATAAAAGTTTTTAGTGGCAAATGTGATAGATTAGTAGATACACAAGACAGAAACGTTCTAAATCACAGCCTAGGAGCCAAAAGACTGTGGCTACAAGGAAGGCGAAGACTTAATACAGGGTCGTGACTAGAGACAGATGATTTGCAAATAGGACTATTGAGAGTTAAGGCGCAGCCTAGCACTAGCCTCAGTGGAACCTAAGGTTTTTAAGCTGTGCCTTCAGACAAGCTGTGAACGGACAAGTTGCAGATAAAGCTTCTGTAGCTTGGCAACCTTCCCACCACAGTTTGAGGACCCTTTCACTAACCATTGCAAATAACAGAAGATGGAGCTTGCGGAAGTACTGGCCCACAGAGCCCTTGCCAAGTTGGTGGTTAGAGCTGGCAAAGGGTTCAAGATGCTTTTCTCTGACACTTTTCCAGTTTCTGACATACTTTCAGCCAAGGATTTACTGCCCTGTGGTTTACATATGTAATAACCCCCAACTGCTCTCTTCCAGGTGCTTGCTCAATCTCTACTGGAATCTGTGCACATTTCCTGAATCCACACCACCTTTTGGCAAGAGTCCCACAGGTCTGCCGCCTACTCATGAGAACATGCAGTTCAGCTGCTTGAACAGAGACTTTGGCTTCACCTTCCTGAGGCTTAGACCTAAAGGAAGTTCTTTTCATTCCCTGCCGTTTCCAACCAAGTGCTTTTGAAGACAGAGTAGCATTGCTCTGTAAACAAGATACCTCAAGTCAGCAGGTAACTCCCCAGTTACCCAGCAGCGGAATTAACAGCTAAAGGAGAGAAGCATTTGCCTGCTTGTCTTACAAGTTTTTCTGAAACATATAATGGTCTTTGTGATGCTGGACTAGAGGGATGCCAGCTTTGACTTACTGTAACTTCTCCTCTAAAGGAACCAATAATAATTATGGAAAACTAGAAGCTAGAGTTTTTAAAAAGTGCCTGAATTACTTTTGCAAATCATGTCTAAATTATAAACAAAAGGCCACTTGTCATTAGTATGGGGTTAAGTCATCATCAGGGTGAAACAGAGACAAATTCTGTTCTTAAGACAGGTTTTGATACATTTCAACTAACATTTGGATCATTCATGCTTAATGTTAATCGCAGATAAATGGAGGGCAAGGGGGCAAGCAGTGAGCAGGAAGACATATTGGCAGGCACTCAGCACTAACTTGAGAACTTGGCTATGAAGAAAAAAAAATCTAAGCTGGAGTGTACTGAAATTGCTAAGTAGGATGTGAGAACCTGGGGCTTACAGAGACGGAAAGGATGCTCAAAGTGTGGCCAAAAAAAAAATAGAGGACTCTCAGGTCAAGTTCGGGGATGCAGGCCAGAACAGATGTCTGTGAGATGTCAGAAATGACTGAGTGGACAGAACTTGCACAGAGGACCTCAGGCCTGGAGCAGCAGCAGGACCCTGGGAATGGGCCAGAAGTACACAGCAAAGGTTGCAGAAAGCACTGGGAACCCAACTGTGTGAAAGCTGGCTTTATTCTGACTGTGATGCCACAAAACCATGCTCCATGTGCTGAACCCATGGTTGCTCCTAGCGGTGCTTCCCAGTACGATTGAAGCGCCTGTACAAGTACCGGATCCTCTTGTTGAGTTTGTGGTAGTCCTCTATAAACATCCGATCTCCCACCACCTGCTTCTTGCGGATGCACCTCTGCAGCTCGTTCCCCCGCCAACACTTGGGCCCCACGATGAGGTTCTTTGGGTGGATCTGGAAGTCACCTGAGAACAGAAGGGCAGAGCAGCGGATGAAGCCAGGCCTTGGAAGAGGCAGTTCCCAGGGCAGTCGGCCCCAATTCCCCCTCCCTGCCCTCTCGCTGCTGGAGGAGCTGCTCGCCCGCAGGTGGGTCCAGCATCCCTCCCCTCCTGCCCGGGGCGACAGCGGG